GAGAATGGGCCGTAATGACCTCAGCACTGCTATACAGACTTATTTATTTTTGCATCTTTCACCTGTGTGCCGGCAGAGCTTGAATTTCTGCGCGTGATTGTTGGTATGCCGCACAATTGTAGTTATTCCCGCAAATCCAGCATTTCTAATGCGAGAATGTCCTGCACGTGTTTATTGGCAAGGTAGAATCGGCGTAAATCAATCCACACATATTCTCTGTCAGATTGAGTTTTCCCAGCATGTTGCAAAGCACTACTGCATAATTCAGTGACATTGCGCTCTTTGTGTGGTTGTGTTTCACATCTCACACTTGTTATAGACAGAGTGATTTGGATTTCGAATCGGTTAACATTTTTTCAATGGGAAAACTTCAACATCTAGTTAATAAACTCGATAAAAAAATGGAATGTTGGCTGAAAAGAAAAGTTGCTTCCGAAGAAGGTGAGCCCCCACAAAACACTGCACCAGACCCTGAAAAATCTAATGACAGTGATGAGGAGATTCACAAAAGAAACAGGAAGGAGAAAGCGCGCAAAGATAGGTTTCAGGCAAGTTGGCTGAAAATATATCCATGGCTCGAAATTAAAGATGGAGAAATGAGCTGCTTAGTTGTGTGAGGTTTACAAAAAGTCTACATTAATTAGACACTCGAATGCAGTTGCTCATAATGCAGCACTCAAAAGAAAGAAAAGAAAGAATGCTATGGTTAGGGTAATCTAAGCCGTACCAATGGAGTGTGAGGAACTGGTTACTTAAAGCAGCGTACTTTGTTGCAGAAAATGAATTAGCCAATTCAAATTTTGTTGAACCTGTGAGATTCATGAAAGAAGTGGAATGCCCCTCTTGAATCATCTTAAGATTAATGGATCAAACTATGGAAGCTCTCTGAAGGTCAAAGGTTTTTCAAAAATGCATCAAGCTATCGTGAGCACACTCTTAGAAGTGGTAGATGCCTCTGTAGGGACAAGGCCTGTGTTTTTCTTAATATTGGATGAGTCCACTGATAAAAGTAACAGTAAGCAGCTCGTGTACCTATGTAAGGTACTGTACATACACAGAAAACAAGGTGAAAACAGTTTTTTAGAAACTCTGAAATTGCAGATGGAAGGGCAGAAACCATTTTTCAAGATGTAAAGCTAATGAGTGAAAAAAAAATTAAATAGAAGCAAACTTGTTGCAGTATGCACAGATGGAGTTACTGTAATGTCAGAAAGCAGCCAAGGAGTTGTTCAAACACTCAGCGAATAATTCAATTCAGAATTAACCGGATTGCTGATAGTGATGCAGCCAGATCTGTGGAATAAGTATAAAAGTTCCTGCAAAACTTGAGGGCATTTATTTTCAGCAACTCTGCTATAAGAACCAAGAAGCTGCATGAGTGGCAGAAACAACTGGAGGAGCTGACACTGACATTTACTCTGCCACATACAGTGAGGTAGTTGTCCA